TTTTCTCAGTTTTCCCAATTCAAACTTCAGCTATTTGCGACGGTCGTGAGTAAACTTTTTCGAATGTCCCTGGCGCTTGTGAACGAATTTTAATGGGGATTTTTTATATTCTATTTATTGTCTTACAAGGGAGAAACTTTTGTAAATATTTAATGATGAGTAAGTTTTCGAATAACGTTTTTCTCTTCAAGTTGCATCATTGCAGACTAGGAGCCATGGTGTAGGTACGTGTGACTGTCGTGAGTTTGATACTATACTCAAAGGGTAGAAAAGTGTAAAACACCATTGATATTCGGCATTTATTTTATGTTACTTTTTAGAAAAAAAGCTTATTTTTCATATTAAGGCAAAAAAAAAAATAAATAAAAAAATAGGAGTAGAACATATTTATGTGCAAATAAAATACCAGGGACAAGAATGTTCCCTATTTCAAATTTTCGCCCAATTACTTGTGTAAAAGAGTCTTCCATCTCACCAAAACCTTTTTCGCCGCAATCACACGCTGAATTTGTCAGCTGAATGTGGCAGTCAACAGTTAGCGCTCAACAGCTGAAATTTCACTAATTCGAGTTATTTTCATCCAAATGTGTATCAGAGCTATTCGAATAGTTCAGACAAATCCGACATTGTCCGATGGTCGCTGAGAATCTTTGCAAAAAAACCGTGCGCAAAATTCAGGCATCGGGCCTATGACTTCCACATTCAAGCCACATTCAGCGTGTGATTGCGGCATTACTCCCAGTCTACTCCCATTCCATTCGGCAATTTTCTCATGGGAATTCATGCATCTCCACGCTGCCTCTTCAAAAGCAACAGAATAATAAGTACGGCAATGAAATGATAAGAAAGGCGACAGTATATTATCGCCTCTCGACCAGGGTAGCCTCAGAGGACCTGCAAGCACTTTACGCAATCCAACCCACAATTTATATAAAAATAAAGCATAAATAAATATTCAGTGGTCTGTCTCCTGTTTCACTTTGGAGGTTGTATTTACGTTCACGGTGCAATCCCCCCCCCCTCCCGGTATGAATTAAATCCCTATGAAACTGTAAGACTTTTTACCGTACTTTTCCTGTAAAATTAAAAGTATCCCGATTATAATTTAGAAAGGAAATTATCGTCAATAATAGTGTTTTTTGAGTTCTTGGGGCGTAGGCGGTAGGAATCAGTGTTGAGAAATAAAAAATCGGATTTCACCCCAAAAAATTCATACGACTGCCTGCGAAGTGAATTGCTACCACTTTATCGTTGTTTTTATGCGTAAATAGTTTACTTGTTCAGAGCTAGGTTCAAACTAGTAGTCTTTAAGTCGGCGTTCATTCATGAAGCTTAATTTTTGTGCTCTTTTGTTAAGTTTTTTTTTTTTTTTTTTTTTTAAATGTTTTCCTAATACACATGAGCATTTCAAGTAGCACAGCCCATAAATGAGTCAATTTGTAATGCCGGATTATAATGTCTCAGCCTCTGTGACCTCCGAGATTTCTATTCAGTTAGTAATTACAATGTCATGTACCGATTGAACTTAATCAGTTTTTGAGGATCCACAGTAAACTCGGGTGTAACTACTAGACCGGTATTTCAATTTATTTCATACCATTCGCCGAATCTCTTATTCATTAATTTCTTGATGATAAATATTCTTTATGTAATGAATTGAATTGTTCAACATTTTGATGGAACCAGACCTCTTTAACGTTCCACTTATTGATCATGTTTAATGTTTGTGCTCATTCGTTAAGTTGTAGTAAGTATTTATGTTTTCTCGATGTTTTTTAAATTTTATTCAAGCTTTTCAATTCACACAATGACTGACTGAATTTCCTTTGTCTGATTGTCTGTATGACCTTCAGTACTTTGGCTGTGTACCTCATTATAATGTTGTGTTCTTTTGAAAAGTTTAATGAAACTCCTATTCTTCCTTAATTGTTTTGTAAATTTTGTCGATTATTGGGTGGGTCCTTGCCAATGACTCAAATTTCCAAATTGGTGCCTTCCATGATTTTCACTGTCAGAATGTGCAGTTTCATCGGTAACATTGGTTTTGCATTTTTCGTGATGGTATTAAAAATGCAAAGCCTCGCAATAGTCTCTCGTTACCGTGCCAGAAACTGTGCATCCTTTTATAATAGTAGTGCGATTTGGTTGTTCATTGGGGGGACTGCTCGTTTTGTATTTTTTTTTTAATTGATTTCATTGCTTGGTTCTTAAGGATGAATTTTCGGTTTCCTGCTTACCCTTGGTGCGCAAAATTAATTTGTTTAAAGTATTTTATTGACTTCTCTCCTTATTCATTTAATTTTGGCGTTCCTTAAACAAGCTGTAGGAAATTTTTATTGGCTTCTTCTTATTCAGTTAATTTTAGCGTTCGTATCTTTCTGCAAATGTTACGTAAAATTAGCTGAGCATTGAAAGTCTCCTGCTACTTGATGACTTATTAGCTGATACTCGATGGCTGATTCTATAATTTGACCTGTGCACCTCTTCCTAATTATTTAATTATATGATCTGTTGTTTCACTGATGACATTGGTTTACCCGCCATTGTCACGGTTATAACTCTTTTAAGGCGCTACAGTATTTTGTTACCTTGCCAGCATCCTTTAAACATTATTAATTAGGTGTTCCTTCAAAGTCATTTAGAAAATTCATCTGCTTAATTGGTTTGTTATGTTGAATTTATGTTTCGTTACTAAGTTAAAATGTTGAAACCTTGAATGTAACCAGTTGTTTTCAAGTTTCTGCATATGGTATAGTTTAATTTGAGTGTTCATTTGTTAAATTTCAAGTTTTGTCAATTGCTTTAGTAGAGTGTTAACTTTGTCAATATTATATTTTCTATTTCTTAGGGTTAATTTTCCATCTGGGTGACCTTCGTTAGTTACCCAGCCAATACCTGCAGAAAGGTCACCTTGATTCAGTTTGACCCTTCATAACGTAACAGTCCAGTTTGCGTAACTCTTCATTGCAACTAATTGTAGATACATACTCAAAAACTAATTGATAGCTTTTCATTTATTACACTAACACTTCCTATCAGAATTATTTAATAGTTTATAATTTTTCCCACCTTTTTTCCTTATTCTTCATTTCCTTACGTTTACGTTGGCATATACCTCTCATCTTTTTTGCTTATTACTCCAATGTGTCTACCTCTATTTTAAGTTTTTTACCTTTTAGTCTATGAAAATTGTTTACTTATCCATTTATTTCTTTTTTATTGTCTATTTTTTAATGCTTGCTGCATGTTTAAGGTGTAAGTACTTCGCTGCCTAAAGGAATTGAATTAAGTTCCATCAAAAGCATTCTAACATTATCCTGCATCAGTAGCTTTGAAACTGACCTCATCATTTCTGTGGGTTTGCCAATGTTAAATTTTATTAACGATTCTTTGACTTTCCATTTCTCTTTCTCCTGTCACATTTAGAGATGAGCACTGTCTGAATTTCATTTCTGTAGAGGAAAAGATTATTTCTTCACCTGCTTTATGAACATTAAATTTCCGTTCATTTTACGTAGATCAGTAAAGGCAAGTGAAAACGGACAAAATTTTTCCTGAATGTAAATGAAGGAAGGAAATGAAAGTATGCATCTCACTAAGTGTCTTAATCAATTCGAAAAATGACAAGATAGAATGCTAGCAAGAGGCGGAAGTGACGCTACCACATGATAGGTTCCAATCACGTTGCTAATCATTTGGGTTGAATTTGTCAGAAAGGTAACAAGTCTCAAAAATATTAACCCGAGAAAAAAAGGTTTGAGGTTCAATTCCTCCATCAGACTCAATTTCAGAAATGAACTTTCAAGTCCACGTTTTGAGATTAAATATTTTTGTGGTCTCAGAATTTTTGGCAGACAAAAGTGCGGTAATAATTGAGCTTGAATTCATTCATATCTGAGAGTTTCTTATAAATTTGACTTGGTTTCTTTTGGATGAACTCAGATCATTTGACTTTGAAAATTTCCTTCCCCACCGATTCAGTTTGCAGCAACCGAATGTACTGTCTTTCAGGCAATAAACCATGAAACCAAGGTTTTCATGTACAGCGAATGATAAATTGGGCTTGCTTATTCTTTGTCGATCCTGGAACCTTATTGTTAGTTAGATTTAAGGCAGTCCATACCAATTTGTTCATGATCTTGGTTACTTTCTGTCATTTTTAGTTTTTAAAACGCCTGAATTGTTTTCTCATGTGATCATTTATTTTGCGGTATGATTCTGTGTTTTTCCATTCATTGAATTTTTCATTTTAAATATATTTTTTACGTCTCTTTTTCAATTGCTTTTGTTTCTCTCAGTCCTTTTTAATTCCATTCATGACCATAAAGATTTCTCACGAATTACCGACGTTCTTTAAACATAACCATTCCATTTACGGAAAAAATAGTGCTGAACATCTCGCATACCTATGTGAAACTCTAGCCCTGAGATTCCTAAGGACCCCTTAATTTTCAGCGTTCCTGTTCTGTAAAACTAATCGATAATTTAATTTAATTCGCACTACTTCAGGGGGATGCATTCCATTTAAGACAGAGGACTCTTCGAACACGTATGTCCGAGTATATTTCCTTCAAGGACGTCGTGAAAGTTGCCTCTTCTCTGGTCCTAAAACTGATAATAAGTATGAGAATCTAGATTTGTTATAAAGTGTTCTTGAATGGAAAGCAGAGGGACTCTCGTTCCATTTCTTAAGAGCATCATTAATTTTTTCGAGGCAAGTATTAGAATGTGGCTACGTTCTAGAGGCTGGTACGTAAACTTCAGTTTAAAACCTTAAGCAAATAAATTTCCCGTAAGTACCTGCCACTTGTTCAGCACAATGACACCATTTAATCATAGGAAGCATGTCTCAAATGGAAAACAAAATTCTCAGTTGATAAATTAATTTGAAAATAATTACTCTTTTAAAGAAGGTAAATTTTCTTACATGAACCATCGAGGAGTTTCGATCCCTAACATTTCAGGAACAGATTAATGGAGCATTGAAATAAACTAAAATGTTGACACCTTCATCACTAAAAGCTTTAATAAGAAATGTGGTCAGACAAATGCAGTTTTTTTTCTTTTTTTTTTCTTATTATAATTTAGAGATCAAGAAAAAATACAAGGATTTATACAATAAATACTGAACTTAAACTTAATCTATTACGGCTTCAATCTCTTGGATTATATTGCCGATATGTACAGCTGCTAATGAGCGATGAGTCAATAGACATCAGACTAGATTAAACGACTTATCAATAAAATCAAAATTTATATATACGGAGCAACTGGGACTTTCGAAGAGTCCAAATCTGCAATGTTTAGGAATCAATGAAGATTTCCATAACAGGGAGTCAAGCAATATCCGACAAAACCTACACACGGAAGGTAAAAATTCCGGATATGGTACTATCTACGAATCACTGAGGAATGGTTAACCTCCAACAGAATTAAATTCATCTGACAATCAGATATAGATACAACTGTTTATGAACTACGAAAAAGCAATCCAAAAATTATTTGGGAAAGGGCAACTACGTAATAATAATAATTCCACTCTCTGTTTCCAGAGTGTTGGTATTTATCAAATGAGATAAGGAACAGCTTTTAACTAATGTTAACAATTAAAGACTCGTAGCATCTCGTCTAAGATGGGGTTAACTTTGTTTTCAATGCTACGATCTCTCTTCTCAGAGAGATTATTTCTTTTTTAAGACAAGAGAATTCCTCCTAATATTTTAACTCTAGATTTTAACTAACTTCATTTTTTAATTTTTTAATATCATTATTACTAATTTTATTTTTATTTGAGAAATTCTCGTCTTCTTGGGTTTGGGTCTTAATCCTATCTGCTAAATGTCTTTTCTTCTAGTATTATATTTTTACATTCTTCTGCAACTTTTTTATATTGGTGTATTCTCTGCTTCCTTAATTTCTTGTAAAATTTACAACCCTTCCAGGTCGTAAAGTGATGTTCTTTGTAGTGCAAGCACACAGGCTTCCACTCACTCTGTTTAGATTTCTCACATTCTGAACTAAAATGATGATCGTTGCAGATTAACCATATTATTTTACGGTAACAAAAGTTCTTTGTATATCCATATTGGAGGCAATTTTTGCAGATAGGAATATCAATTTGTTTGATCCCTATTCTTTCTATCTTAATTTCATATTCATTAATTATTTTTATCTCATCTAATTTTTTCCAAGCGTTATTATTACTTTTAATATCTATTTTAAAGAGAGGGATCGGTGCTTTAGTGAATCTATGTCGGAGTTGTTGGATATTTTTAACTTCTATTGGTTCATGTTTTTCTAGCTCTAGTTTGAGGATTTCTTTATCAAAATTGATCGGTAGTCCTCGAATAATTCTTCTTGTTATTTTTCCACTAAAACTTTGAAAGGTAAAAAATTCGATTCCTAGTTCATTTAATTTTTGGGCTAAGATCCTGTGCTCTGGTATTGACTTTAGTACAATTTTTGTTTGTTTTTTAGAGCTAACTTTTAAAAGGAAATCGAATTTGTAGTCTTTGAGTATCTTCTTAATTTCTTCTGGATTTTCATGCATTATAAAGATTGGAGGAGGTTTTTGGTTTTCATTCTTGGCGTCAAGGTTATTTTCTTCTTTGGAGTTATTATTTTCTATTACTGAGTTTATTATTTCTGTTTCAGTTTCCATTTTTTCCACTTCTGGTTCTATTGAAAGGACTTTGAAACTTCTTTTGGTATTTTCTGGCTTTGATTCTTGGGGCACTTTATTCTGTAGGGTATCATTATTAGTTTTATTATGGCTATTATTATCATTCGATATAGGGTCTAATTTAGGTTTTTTAGTAACTGGTTTTTTAGACTAAGGGAGATATAATCAGCTTTAGTAATTACTTTAGTGGGCGCATATTCTTTTCCTCTTCTTAGCACTAGAACAAGTTGTTTACAATGATTGCATTCAAAAATTGGGACTCTATGCAGACATTCAGACTTGTCTTTAAGATCAGCCAATGACATAGGCAAACAAGAATTACAAGATAATAAAAGTCTATTGTGTTGGCATTTTAAATTTCCTTCAAACTGGAAGAGGCAATTTTTTTTCTGGAAAGAAAAGACATTTTGGCTGATTTATCAGTTTGTTGAGAATCATCTCTAGTCTGGTTAGACTGTTGATTATGAGTCGATGAAGATGGTGCAGAGAAGTCGGAAGTTTGGGTCACTGATGCTAGCTTGTTCCGATCAGATATGCTTATAGCCTGAGGTAAACTGGGAGACTGAAATAGCTGTGAGTATTCTGTAAGGAGAGTACTAAAGAGTCCAGGATGATGTTTCTTTAAATAGTCCAACGATCCACGCCTCATAACACATTCCCGAACTTAGCAGGGGAGTTTATCTTCATCATTAAAAAGGATTAATTTATAGCAAGTATCGCATAAATATCCAGCCTCTCGATGTTGGCAAGGTAGTTGTACATAATTGAGTTTTTGGCAAGATTCACAGTTTTTGAATTCTAGTTTATGCTTGCAAACATATTCCGGCAAAACGATGAACGAAGACATGATAAGCCTTTGTTGTTTACCGAGGCAAAAATTAAATAGACCGACTACATAGAAATAGTAAAAAGGCAAGTCTAGTGCAGCATATGTAACACGAACGAAATAAAAAAGAATAAACAGTCTAAGCAGAGTTTAGATAAGCAGTTCTGACATGTGCATGGATTGCAGCAGCGGTGTCAAGTTTTGTTAAAAAGTGCTGATAACGAGCTGATAAGACTCGAAACAAGACAAAACAGTTATATAATCACTAAAAATCACGCCGTGGACCAATCACAAAAAGATAAATATCTTCTGGTGACACAAAGTACAAAGGGAGTCACTGTAAGAAACACAGAGTCGCGATCTAAAGCTATCGGTAGGTATAAGAAACAAATTTTTTGGCCACTTCAAACCTATCAAACTACAGTAAAAAGTAGTAAATTCGCAGGAGCGAGAAGCAACGGAACATCCTTTGGCGAGAGCACGAAACGCATGCCAGACAAATGCAGTTGGAAACAGAATCAGAAATTACATTACAAATTCATCAACAGCAGTGAGTTCTTGAACAAGCGTAACAATTAATCTCAAAAATCATAGGAAGAAAATCTCAACTCAATGCCAACTTAGACATATCTGTCACCTGGAAGTTTTTCATGTTCTTAAACGCGCGGAAAATTGAGGCTCAGCACTTTCGGAAACAGCAAAACCAGATTTTCCACTTAATGGACGGAAGGAAATTCAAGCAATAGCCGATTAGAAAACAGCAGAAGAAGAATTAATGAAAAATGAGGTGAATGCATTCATGCAAAAAGTGGCAATCTGCCATGGGATCCTTCAGTAGATGGACTTGTTTTAAGTGAACAGCCAATTTTCTGGAGTGTAAAAATTTCATCATTGTTGGTGCTATTTTTTTCTGTTTTAAAAAAGGGGTCGTTTAAATTTCTGACTTGGAACTAAAGCAAGCAACAAGAATTGGTTCAGAATGAAATGCCGATATCACAAAACATTACTCGTTACGGCTTAAAGTTATAAAATTCTGCACAGATTCATATTCGTCGAAATTTTCAGGATTTGGAAAAAACATTTCTGCTCTTTCATGCCATATCTGTTCTGTTTCATTCAAGTCAGTATTATCATCC